CTTTTTTGAATTATGGGAACATCGAAATGCATAACAATAAGACTGATAATATTACTTTACAAGTATTTTTTACTGATTCTTTACTAATGGTTTCCAATGAGGAGAAACGAACTGCATCTGGACTGTGCACACCTTGTGATACACGCAGCTGCAAACGTGATATTTCATCCAATATCAGATCTCGTTGGGTTGACTGGAAATGTAATAAAGTTTCAGTCAAAATACAATATCAGTCATCACTGTTACATCATTTATTAAGGTATTTAATTTTATGTGTTGGCTTCATTTGATTTCAATGAGTGTGACTGATTCACACTCTGCATTGAAATACATAGAACCTCCTATTTCAATCTGAGAAATTAATCTATTGATTTATTTTTACCTCAGACTACTGAGCCCATGTAAAAAAAATACTCATTTTTTAAAGTATGTATTCTTTTAATTTAAGCATTACAAGCTTCTTTTTCAGGATGTTAAAGATAAATAACTTATTTGTGATTTAATCTCAGGGCAATGAAGATATATGTTTTACAAATGTTTTTCATGTTCTTTACTTAAGTCCTAAACTGCACAATTCCCTACCCGCACTGTGCTCACTGTAGTGCCCTAACTCGCAAATTTAATGTTATAAGCTCCTAATATTACCCTTCAACTACCAGGGGTCTCTTCTAAAAATGAGAAAATGAAGAAAGATAACGACATATGTGACTTTCTCTGGATGTCCAGACCAAGACAGCGAATATGTATGACATATGTTTTATGTACCCACAGAATATTAAGAATGTGTGACTCTTTATTGGATGTCATCCTAGGAGTGTAAAGATGTATGACTTTCTGAAATTCTCAGAATCAAGACAGTAAAGAACTAGAACTTGCTGTTGGCTGCTATCTTAAAGCTATGAGAATGCATGACCTACTGTACACGGTAAAGCAAAAATGGATAAGACGTAGACCTGCTATTGAAGCTACCTCTTGACTTAAGAATATGTGGCCTATTATATGTTGTGGAATAAGCAAAAGAAAGATGAACGACAAGCAGTAGATTATTATCTCAGTGCTGTAAGAATGTATAAGCTCCTTTGTGACAATGCTCCAGAACTGTAAAGACATGGAGGCTGTTGGAGGCGGGATTTATTAAAGACCACATTAGATCTCTAGGCAAATTAAGTTGTGTAAGCCCCATTCAGCACAGATCCTCTTTTGTTTTCATTGAAATTTTACCATCAAATCAACTTTATCATAGAGTCAATAGATTCTATATGTGGGGATGGCCAAGGTACTCATTAGGGATAATACAAATATGCACACTAAAAAAATCAACAATGACACAGAGTTTTACTTTAAAAGATTATTGACACTCACTTTCATATTTTTCTTTATCAAACAATCCCCAAAACAAGGCAAGAAACAATTGCTAAAATACCAAACCAGTAAATGACCAAGCCATCAAATTGTTCATCTTTCTTCTTTTTGTTGCGGTAGAGATGTAACAGAAGGCCGTGTAGGCTAGTCATTGGATTTCGACTTTAAATTGCAGTTACATATAAGTTTATTTTAAATCCAGATTTACAGTCGAAAGTGAAGTACACAAGTCACTAACTCGAGGAAGTATACAGTTAGACTAAAGAATTGACTCAGAGGCTAAGATTCAATCACAAATAACACTCTAATTTAAATCATAAAGATACTCAGCTACATCATGATTACCGAAAGTATCTTTAAAAACTTCATTGTTAAAATTGCTAAATTCTTCAGTCTGAGCTGACAACTGTTCTTCAGTTAAACTTTCAATAATACTTCTTAAATACTTTACTGCAACAAATAGTTTATCAATTACAACATTGATTGATATATGCTCCGACATACTTTGCTTTACCTTCCTTAATATGAAACAGTTTATATCGTCCTACTAATTATGTTAGTTGACTGAGAGTGATAGCATTAATTACTTACATGGACCTTGAGCATTACGTATTGGTAGTTTCTCTTAAGACAGGCATTATCAAAGAAGTTCTAGGTTTAGGCACAGTAGGGTCAGCTAACATCTTCTCTTCAATAGCAGGTTTGGAGGCATCTGATAATCAGCCAGGAGACTTAATTTTGAGCTAAAAACGGGACTTTTTATACTCGTTTTTCAATATTTCTATGAGCATTCAATTAGCTCTACATGCTAGTTCTCCAAATAGATCCTTGTTTGAATTGGAGGCCCGGCATGGCCAGGTGGTTAGGGCACTCGACTCGCAACCTGTTGGTCGCGAGGTCGAATCCCCCGCCCCCCCAACATGCCCGCCCCTTCCGCCGCGGGGGGGGCTAAAGGGGG